CCAAAGGGTTTTTAGAAACTCGAATGCTAAATGCACCAAAAGTACTAAAATTTACTAAATTCGGTACCACATGGTATTATGATATATGATATATTAAACCTTGATATTTGGCATAAGAATTATGTTGTGTAAGTAGGTTAGATATAAGGATATATCAGATAAAAGTGGCTTTGGAAATGTGTAAGAACTATACTTAATAGTATTAAAATTGACACTATTCGGTTTCGGGTGAACGGATAGAATTGCAATTTTTGAATGTTGATATGGAATGTTTCCATTATTTCGTATTTCTCCTACAAATATATTTTATGTTCCCTTATTGTCTCCATATTATGATATTAAAAATCTTATTTTACCACAACATGATATTATGGGCTCTACGCCACAATGCTGATTTCGCATTGATTAAAACAAATATGTAATGTCTTGTAGGCATCCTCATTGTCGACCAATGACGACCTCTCTAAAATGACTTGCAAATTTATGTGTGTGTATGTATGTATGTGTGTGTAAGAGAATGTTCCCATTTTGGTTAATATTTTTTCTTTTGCTGTTCAACATGTCATGGTTTTTGGGTAATGTTATGCTATACCGTAAAATAATGTCCCAGAAATATACAAACACTCCGACAGGCGGATAAACCCCTGTATATATGTAGATATGTATATATATATATATGCATATAACATACAAACAAAAATGCTATGTATATACGTAAATGTTGTTGATGCCAAGTGGAGTGTTTATAACATGACCACTTAGTACCACACCATATACTCTCCAAGGAATATCCACAGGATAAAAATTTGTATGTGTTCCTCATGATGATATGTGTGTGTATGTGGCTGTGATACTTATGACCACAGAGAGATAGACTGTCTGTCACACCATAGAGGAAACAAAAATGCAAGGCAACAACAACAACTACATCATATACAAATACTTGGCATGATTCATAAGTGTTAAGCATACACATCGCCGGAATAGATAGACCACAGCCATGGAGGCAAGCAAGCAAGAAAGCCGGCAAGCAAATGAACCAAAAAAGAACACAACAGACAAATCTTCAAGTAATGGATAACCAAAGAGGACAGATATGTGTTCAGGTTTTTTCAGATTTTTTTTTTGTTTTTGCTAGAACAATGCAAACAAAAACGCTTTTTTATTATTTCACTAAGAACTCTTTTGATTTTTTTTTTCGATTTTTTAGGTTCAAGAATTATTCCCAATATAGCAGTAATTTGTACGCTGATGCGCCATGGGATTTATGGAACGTTAAGACTCATATTCTGTTGTAGCTTCTGTCTCGATTTTAGTTTATTCCTCATTTTTTCTCAAAGGTGTCTTCTTCTAGTCTTATTTTTTTCTGTTCAAGGACTTTTGGTATAGTTTACATATTAAACCGTAGATGATGGTAAAAAATATTGCAGCGTATTAAATTGGAGGTTTAGCTCTTCTTGTTGTTGTTGGTGCTGCTTTCGTACAGGGATGCAACAAAAGGCAGCGTAGTGGTGTGACCAGTGTGACGCATTCTTTTCGATTTCTACAAATTTGACTTTGATCAACGTTTATGAAAACAAGGTAAAATAAGTAAGGGCGAGGAGCAGTGGGATCGGAGAGAAGTTTTGGTTTTGTACTTTTTAACACCATTAATACAACATGAAAGCAAATTGAAATTTATGTGATTTTGTCTGTTTAAAATGAAGCTAAAGATGAGAAGATTTTTTTTTTGCCAATGGGTCATCTTAAAATAGGGATACCAGGAGAGATTTTCGACAAAATGGGCTAAATGAATTTATGATGATACTTTCGAAAAGGCTGGAATAACTAATAAAAAAAAACAGTTTTGGTAGTGAGAGAAAATCTTTGTTGAAAATGGCTTTATTGTCATCACGTTCGTGTTTTAAGTCTTTTGTTTTCATTGCCAAATATCTCTCTCTCTTTGGAGTATTTGGATTTATTCCCATCTCATAAAAATTCACTCATTTCAACACGACATCCCTACACGACGTCCTTCTCTGTCATTTGTCCATTTACAAATTTTCTACCTTTTTCAATCACTGCTGTTTTGATGGGTATTTTGTAAAATACATTAACAACCATTTTTTCGGATTTCTTCCAAGTTTTTATATTATTGTCAGATATTTAAATGAAGCTTTAACAGAAATTTATTAAGGTCACATTATTCACACTATGCAGTTCGTTAAGTCATTTACAACCGTGTGAGGAGGACATTAACGTGGTTGTAAAGCAGCACATGGAGGTCAAAAGTTTGGGATTTTAATTAAACACATAAAGTTATGGTTAAATATTTGCAGTACTTGGTTATGGTCATTAAAAGGAAATATTGAATAATGAAGTATTGGAAAAATGGAGTTTATTGCATATATAAATATTTTTAAAAATTATTACTGTTTTATTACAAAATTAAAAAAAATATTTAAAGAATTTTTATTGACATTAAAAAAAAAAACATTCCGGCTTCAAAACGGCTTCTACTGGTCTATGAGAAGACGTGTGGTCTTCTATAGGAAAACATTTTGGTCTTCTATAAAAAACCGTTAAAACTTCTATTACAACAACTATTGGGCGTCTTTTATAAGATTCGTCTTCTAAAAGTCATGGTCTCCTAGGAGACGGCTTCATGGTCTTCTATAAAAGAAGATCTCATTGTCTCCAAAAAGAAGAAGGCCTCACGATCTCATGGTCTTTCCTCAGAAGAAGACCTTATGGCCTTTTCTAAGAAGAAGACCTAATGGTCCTTCATCACAAGAAGACTTCATGGTCTTCTATCAGAAGAAAACCTCATGATCTTCTATCCGGAAGACCTATAGCTCTTCGCTGAGTAGACCTCATGGTCTTTTATAAGAAGACCACCTCATGGTCTTTTATAAGAAGAACATCTCATGGTCTTCTATAAGAAGACCACCTCATGGCCTTCTATGAGAAGACCACCACTCGGTCTTCCACAGGAAGACTTCATGGTCTCCTACAAGAAGACCTCATGGTCTTCTATCAGAAGAAGACTTCATGGTCTTCTGTCAGAAGAAGACCTCATGGTCTGCTACCAAAAGAAGACCTCATGGTCGGAAGAAAACCACATGATCTTCTATACGAGAAGACTTATAGCACTTCGATGAGAAGACCATTTGTTTTTCGATGAGAAGAGCTATTGCACTTCGAGGAGAAGAGCTATTGCTTTTCTATGAGAAGACCTCTGGCTCTTCTATGAGAAGACCTCTGACTCTTCTATGAGAAGACCTCTGGCTCTTCTATGAGAAAACCTCTGGCTCTTTTATGAGTGGACCTCATGGTCTTCTCTGAGGAGACCTCATGGTCTTCTATGAGAAGACCTATAGCTGCTCTTCTATGAGAAGACCTATAGCTGATCTTCTATGAGAAGACCTATAGCTGCACTTCTATGAGAAGACCTATAGCTGCTCTTCTATGAGAAGGCCTATAGCTGCTCTTCTATGAGAAGACCTATAGCTCTTCTATGAGAAGACCTATAGCTCTTCTATGAGAAGACCTATAGCTCTTCTATGAGAAGACCTATAGCTCTTCTATGAGAAGACCTATAGCTCTTCTATGAGAAGACCTATAGCTCTTCTATGAGAAGACCTATAGCTCTTCTATGAGAAGACCTATAGCTCTTCTATGAGAAGACCTATAGCTTTTCTACAAGAAGAAGACCTATAGCTCTTCTATGAGAAGACCTATAGCTCTTCTATGAGAAGACCTATAGCTCTTCTATGAGAAGACCTATAGCTCTTCTATGAGAAGACCTATAGCTCTTCTATGAGAAGACCTATAGCTCTTCTATGAGAAGACCTATAGCTCTTCTATGAGAAGACCTATAGCTCTTCTATGAGAAGACCTATAGCTCTTCTATGAGAAGACCTATATCTCTTCTATGAGAAGACCTATAGCTCTTCTATGAGAAGACCTATAGCTCTTCTATGAGAAGACCTATAGCTCTTCTATGAGAAAACCTATAGCTCTTCTATGAGAAGACCTATAGCTCTTCTATGAGAAGAAGACCTATAGCTCTGCTATGAGAAGAAGACCTATAGCTCTGCTATGAGAAGAAGACCTATAGCTCTGCTATGAGAAGAAGACCTATAGCTCTGCTATGAGAAGAAGACCTATAGCTCTGCTATGAGAAGAAGACATATAGCTCTGCTATGAGAAGAAGACCTATAGCTCTGCTATGAGAAGAAGACCTATAGCTCTGCTATGAGAAGAAGACCTATAGCTCTGCTATGAGAAGAAGACCTATAGCTCTGCTATGAGAAGAAGACCTATAGCTCTGCTATGAGAAGAAGACCTATAGCTCTGCTATGAGAAGAAGACCTATAGCTCTGCTATGAGAAGAAGACCTATAGCTCTGCTATGAGAAGAAGACCTATAGCTCTGCTATGAGAAGTAGACTTATAGCTCTGCTATGAGAAGAAGACCTATAGCTCTTCTATGAGAAGAAGACTTATAGCTCTTCAATGAGAAGAAGACCTATAGCTCTTCAATGAGAAAAAGACCTATAGCTCTTCTATGAGAAGAAGACCTATAGCTCTTCTATGAGAAGACCTCATGATCCTCTATAAGAAGACCTTATGGTCTTCTATAAGAAGACCACATCACGAGAATACCTCATAGTCTTCCATGAGAAGACCTCTTGGTGTTCTATGAGAATACCTCATGGTCTGCTATGAGAATACCTCATGGTCTGCTATGAGAATACCTGATGGTCTTCTATGAGAAGACCTCATGGTTTTCCATGAGAAGACCAAATGATCTTCTATAAGAAGACCCATTGGTCTACTTAAAGAGGCCCCATTTTTTTCTATAGAAAGACCTATAGCTCTTTTATGAACAGACCTATAAGTCTTATATAGGAGGGCCTATTGTTCTTCTATAGGAACTATCGTTTGGTCTATAAGAATACCTGTTTTTTGTAAAAGAATATTACCTTTGATCTCTCAATTATTTTACTTTTCACTTACCTCAATTTCCACCACCGTCTCCGTGTGCTGTACCCCATCGCTGACACGTACACGCAACTTATAATTGTCCTTCAGTTCACGATCTAAGGCATCCTTTAGGCGCAGTTTTCCCGTTTCGGGTTCAAGCAAAAACTTGCCATTATCGCCGCCCATTAGAGAAAATGTCAAAGTGCCCAATGTGTCGGGATCGCTGGCACGTATGGTGGCAATTAAGTGGCCAGCTGTCAAATCTTCGCTTACATTAAATGACAATGGTAGATCACGAAATACGGGAGGACTGTCGTTCTTATCCAAAATCATAACTTTGAGCTGAAAGTGAAAAAAAGCGAAGGAGAGTGAGAAAAAAAAAAAAAAAAAAACGATAAATAAAACATAAAAATAAATTTTAATGGATTTCAATAAACTTATTAAATGAAGCATACTGAAGGGGAGAAGTGAGGGGAGGAGGACCGAGAGAGAAACCATAACTTTTTTTCAGTTTTAATTCAATTATACGTTAAATGTTATCAACTGTAAAATCACACAACACAATCTCCGGCTGAGTGGGACAGACAAAACACTTCAAAATGTGGCGTATGGACGGACTTGTTACGTCGTCTCAGACAGTTGTTGCAGTTGCAAACGGAACGTTTTTCTGCTTGTGGCCAGTCAGCAGGCCAGCCAGTCAGCCAATAACAGGCATCAAAAGTGATGTTGTCCATCATGCCACCCAACACCAAAAACACTAAAACCACAACACCAAACACAATACAAAACGCCACACAATATGCGGTTGCTGGTGGCTGGAGGACAACAGCGATGACGACAAAAGTAGCACCAACACCACCATCGCCATCAGTTTTTTTTTTTGGTTTTGTACCCTGCCTGCCACATATTGACTTTAATATTGAAAATGGAAACACTCACAAAGAAAACATGGGAAGTTTACATGGTCCATAGTTGGTGATGGTGGTGCCACAAAAGTAAATGTTGACCCATTCCAACTGCACTTCAATTTTTTTTCTTTTTTTTTCATCCGAACTTCTTATTGTACGCTTGTTTGTCCATCTGTTTTATAAGAGGCACGTACTGCAAGTAGCCGTGCATAGAGTGACGTTATGCTGTCGAGCCAACTGAATGAGTGATACATCATCTTTAGAGTTGTTGTCGTCTCCGAACCGATCATCGTCATCGTCATTTGGATGACAATGATGTCCAGGCGGAGGATGGTGATGATGATGATGATGACGATGGCGATGAAGAGCAGCATTTCCTTTGTTGTTGTTGTTGCTGCTGTATCTTTTTTTTTTGTATTTTTATATCACAAAACTTATGTTGAAAATTGTTATTGAAGTAATAATATAATTACAGCTTTTAAACTTTTGTAGCCACAATCAAAAGAGCAGCAGCAGCAGTCCAACAGGCAACATCATCGGCATGGCAATAGGGTTGTACAAATCAAACAAAACTTACGAACTCACACACACACGCGCACTCACTAACACACAATTACTTTAAAAGGAAATAACAACTTTTATTTATATTGTCGCATGTAGCATGAATATGAGGATATATACGCCATATGTCTATGGAATTGACTGTATGTCTCCCTGTCGACTATTCGATCAAATCCTGAAATATAAATGTATTCATATTGTGTCTAACAGCATTGCTATGTATGTGTGTGTGGTTTTGACTTCTAGCCGCCAAAGCAGTTGTAGCTCCATACTGAAACTATTATGAGTAGTTTCCATATTAGGGGGATATGTTACAAGTAAAATATTAAATATGAAATTATGTGGCACCCTATAGTATTCTGCATGGACTATAAGACCTATGAATTATGAGATCCATAGTTTTCAGGGCGATTCTGTTTAAGGATAAACAGAAGAAAAATAATGGTGTTTTAGGGATTTTTCAAAGATCAGTTGAATTATAAACCCTGGATTTTCAAATATCTTTTCAAGAACCAACTGAGATACAAAATTCTTAGGGATCTGTCTGTCTTGAATTTGAAATAAATGGATTTTTATTATTTTTTAATAATAAAAATGGATTTTTTAGGATTATTCTAGCACCAATCGAGCAAATATCATGGATTTCTAAGGATCTATTTTTCAGAGACTATCAAAGCTAAAATCTTGAACTCATTGCAAGGACCAAGCTATAATCTTGGATTTTGAAGGATCTTTGCAGAAGTAAATAGTTATCTAAGGACTTTAAAAACCTAAGATCAATAATCATGCTTTTAGACCTTTTAAAGAATTGTTTTCAAGGACAATCGTAGATATTTAAGATTTTTTTTATAGACAGATCATCATCATCATATAGATCAACAATCATAAATTTTTTTAAAAAAAAGTGTTGTCAAAATTAAATTTTGAATTTTTGACAATTTTTTTAAATCCTCACAGCAAAATCGTACATTTTTTAAGAATTTTGGCGAAGACAGCAATGGCAAATTGTGATTTTGTAACGGAAAGTGCGTGCTTTTTAAGGAACAATTTGTGCAAGGAATCCAAACAATTGTCAAGATCCAAAGAATATTTATTCACGATTTTCAAAGACTATTTTCTAAAGGATTGCAGGCCTGTTTTTTTTAAGACTTTTATTCGAGACTTTAAAGGACTATTTTTGCAAGGACCATCAGTGTAGGTATATAAAGAATATTTTGTTTAAGACTTTCAAAGACTATTTTTTCGAGGTCCTAGAGAGCTACACGCCTGAATTTTTAAAGATTTTTTTTAAGGACTATCATTGCTATTAGCTTAGATTTTAAAAGGATATTCTTATAAGCGTGGATTTCTAAAGAATATTTTTCAGGGCACCACAAAGATATAAGAGTGGATTTTTTAAAGAATATTTTTCAGGGCACCACAAATATATAATCGTGGATTTTTTTTAAAGAATATTTTTTGTAAGGTCCAAAGGAGTTATAAGCGTGGATCTTAGAAGAATACTTTTTTGTAAGGTCCAAAGGAGTTATAAGCGTGGATCTTTGAAGAATATATTTCAAAACCCATTAAACCTATAAGCATGGATATTTAAAGAATATTAGACCATTAGACTTATAAGGGTGGATTTTTAAAACATATATTTTTCAATGTCCACAGGAATATTTTTCATAGGTTCAACAGGCGTGTTTTTTAAGGCATATTGGAGATCTAAGCGTGTATTTTTAAAGAATATTTTCTTGAAACTCCAACATATAAGCAAAATTTCTTTAAGGTATTTTTTTAAGTACTGCCAGGGTTATCGGGTTTTTTTTTCAAGGACTACCAGGGTTATAGGCATAGATTTTTAATGATTTTTTTTTTCCAAAGACCACCAGGGTTATATGCATAGATTTTAAAAGAATATTTTTTTCATAAACCACCAGAGCTAGAGGCGTGAACTTTTTAAAAATATTTTTTCAAGTACCAACAGGGTTATAGTCGTGGATTTTAAAATAATATTTTTCAAAGTTAACCCTGGATAGGCGAGCATTTTTAAGAATAGTTTTTAAAGGACCACCAGGGTTTTAGATGTGGATTTTTAGGATATGTTTTCAGATCAATAATCTTCAATTTTAAAGATATTTTGGAATATTTTGAACATTAGGGATATCAATATATGGGGATTTTTAAGGATTGGATATTAAGGAAATCTTTGCAGATCTATATTCGTGAATTTTAAGGACATTTTAGCAGTTTTATAATATGGATTTTAAGGTTTGAGGATAGCTTTATATCTTCTGAAGAACTTTTTTGCAGATATGCTATCGCAAATGAACTATAATTAATGATATTTGAAACATATTTTTTCGAATCTATAATCTTGGATATTTTTATGGACCTATATGGTGAATTTTTAAGGATATACTTGCAGAACCTAGCCGAAGACGTTTTAAGCTATGTTTACTTCCCTGAATTTCAGGGATATTTTTTCTGGTATATGCTTTTGGAATTTGGAGGATATTTTTGATGACATATAATTTTCACTGGATTTTGCAGTCCTATTATCATGGATTTTTTTTGTTATCTTTGTAGAGCCTTAATAAAGGACATTCAAAAAATCGTTTCAAGTATTTAGTCGTGGAATCGGGGATTTTTTAAGGACATACCAGTAACACTGAGTAATAGTCAATCTGGGGGTGGGAAATTTTGAAATTTTTCGAGCAAATATGGACAAATATGGGTATGCGATCCACGTTTTGGTATAACACCCATATGAGTGTCAGTCCCCATTTCAAGTATTTCTAAATTTTATCCATATTTTTCAAACTAAATATGGCAAATTATAATAATTTGAGTTCTTAGCGAGAAGAAATCATCCTTGTAAAAAATTATATAGACCCAGTTTTTGTTTAACCCCCATTTGAAGGTCTTGGTCACATTTTTCAATTGATTGGGCCCTTCTTTGTAATATTGGTTTCTAAGGTTTCTATTCGCAGAACATTTTTTTGTAATGTTTCGGAGTAGATCCATTTTTGATTGATTTGATCTTGATTGCATTTTTTAATCGAAAAATTGTATTTGAATACTTTGGTGTTGAGAAACAAAAAAAAAAAAAAAAAATAAATCAATATGGGTATATATAATGGTACAGTCCCCGCATATCGGTACCACCCAAGTCCAAGTTCTCAAACAATACCCTCTGGGTGTGGAGAATTCCAAATTCAGGTTATGGTATTACTTCGTGTGTAATTTTATGGATTTTCAAGATTTTTTTGTATTTCTTTCTATAATCTCGAATCATCTTAAATTTTTAATTTTTAAGGATGTAATTATTTTTTTTTAATATAAAAGACTTAAAAATTCTCTTAAAATTTAGAAAAAAATACTCAATCAAGGCTTAAATTATCCTCTTAAATTTGTTTAAAAAATCCTCGGTTATAGCTTAAAGCGTCTCTCAAACAATAGTTTTAAATAACCCAGAATTTTGGCTTCAAGGGTTCTTAATATATTTAATAAAAAATCTACGATTACGTCTTTTAAATACCTTAAAAAATAAATTTGAAAATTCACGAAAAAAAAAACACTTTAAGAGTCCTTTAAAATCATATATAAAAACACTTCAAAAGAAGGAAATAAGATAATAGCATTAATATTGCTGCCTCCAAAAAATAATTCATTTACCATCGTTTAATTTTTTCTTTAAAATTTATGCCATCAAAAACTAATTATAGAAAAAATGTTCCCACACACATTAAATTATTAGCTCGTCGTACAAATCTCAGATACCGCATACCGTGTGCCCCGTCACCGAGATGTTAGTTCGATAATCATAATTTGATGTAATAAAGAATTATTTAACATTTTGACTTTTTGAGCGGCAATAACAATCAAATG